GCCTTGGAGACAGAAGACTAGAAATAATGTGATCACAAATAATGCTGCAGTTCTGAGATGAAAGTCTGGAAATACAAGTCTGTGGTTGCTGCATGAGTTTTCAACATAGCGAGACTTTAGAAATCTAAGTTACTTTTTGATTACTAAGAATGTAATTTATTTTTAGCAGCTGTTAATATACACAGCAGTATCTTCCAAGCTACCAACTTAAATTGTAATTTAAAGTTTTGAAGCTCTTTACATGCTCTAGTAAGTATTTAGTAGCATGTTATCTTTCATCCAGTTTTTGATATAAATTTTAGCTACTTGTCTAATGATTGATCAAAGTTGTCTAGTGATGCAGGAGTTAATAAATTGTTTCAAAGCAATCTTTGAAATACCTGTATTTTAAACGACTCAGCATAGTTCTTACAATATAAGAATCTGATTTTTGTGAATCTGATGCCCTAATCTCATTCAACACTATTTATGTCAATGGAGCCCTTTTCTCTTTGAGCGAGATGTTGTTCGTAGAGTTTAGATCTGTGTGTCTGATGTGCATTCCTTGAAAAGCCCTTTTTCTAAATATTTTCTTTGAAGCAGAGTTGTTTCTACATTATGAATGCTTAACTTGAAATTTAAACACTTAGAGAAATGAACATAAAATCTCACTAGTATGTAAGAAATGAGGGCTTTTTAGACCAGGACTACAGTCTTCTGTTTTATGGGATCTCTGAGTTGCCATCTTTTTTTGCTTTGTTTAACCTATGGCATCTCTCCTGCAGCGTTTGTATACTGAGGCCTGGGATAAAGACAAGACGCAAATTCACATCATGCCCGACACACCTGAAATCACACTGGCAAAACAGAATATGCATAATTACAGTGAGGTGAGCGTGTTAGATCTCCATAGGTTCTGTGTTAATATTCTTATAACCTTAATATAGATATTCGTATAGATCAATTTCTTTAAGTAACACCAAATACCTGTAATCAACATTGTGACTTTTGAAACGTAATTTGTAGTACATACATACGTACATCCATCCATCCATCCATCTGTGGTCATTGCTTTGAATAAATTCTGTGACAAGTATGTCTGTGGTGAATTTTGTGGGGTTCTTTCTGCCATTTTATTTTATTTATTTTATTTAACATTATATATGTTGCTGGAAAAGTGCAAAATTCAGTCCAACATTAGAGATGCAAAAAAAAAAAAAGAATTCCTTCACAGTTGTGATGATTATTGTTCCCAGTGTTCAGTTAGTTTAGGCAAAAACATTCACATCAGTAAGAGGTGGCTTTAGGAAGCTTTATTCTACTTGTATGTGGAGGAATAGTTCAGCTATCAAGTTGCAATGTATGTTATACGATCAAAGTTTAGGAAGAAAAAAATTATTAGTGTAGCTAGCAAAGATATTCATTCAATATGAATTACTGATCTGGAGATTTGAATTAAGGAAGTTAGATAAAACCAGGATAGAATAAATCTTAACAATTTTTTTTTCCTACTCACAAGCAGTTTGTTTTGCACAGAATGCGACATATGGAGTTTAGCTACATTAATCCTGTTGTTTGATTCTTTACCTAGAAACTGTACAAACAAGCCATGGAAGAAGCAAAAAAGAAAGGCTATGATTTGAGAAGTGATGCTATCCCAATTCAGGCTGCCAAAGCATCCAGGCAAATTGCCAGTGATGTAAGACACTAATATTTTGGGTTTTTTGTGTGTTTTGACATCAGATCTCTACAATATAACAATGTTCGGATTATTTCTGTAAGAGAAGGTTAAATTTAACTCTCATCTAAAAAGTGCATTTTGGAAATAGCTTGTGTATAAAGGCCTAATTGTAGAAGATATGGACAAGATGCCTTGTGTGCTTATGTGTAGTTAAATCTTTAGAAATACGTGTAAAACAAGATTATGTCTCAATAACATTAGAGAAGAATTTCTTTAAAAAAAAAAATTATTCAGGTCTGTTTATTGCTCTAATACAAATCTCAGAAATTTAACCTGGGGATCCATGTTATAAGCCCAGAATTACTTCAAATGTATATTTGTTGGCTGTAGGTTACAGAAAACTTCAGAGAATTTGTTATTAAAGCATTTTACATGGGTAACTGATATTATGTTCTACATATAAGTATAATATCTTGATATGTATTTCAGTACAAGTATAAAGAAGGGTACCGCAAGCAGCTGGGCCACCACAT